TGGGGGAGGGGAGGGGAGGTAAATATTTGTAAAACTTTTTCAAAACTTTTAATAATAATAAAAAAGATCATTTATGTAAAATATAGAGAGTGTGGGTCCTAATAGAGCCGAGGTGGCGCAGTGGTTAAATGCAGCACTGCAGGCTACTTCAGCTGACTGCAGTTCTGCAGTTCGGCTGTTCAAATCTCACTGGCTCAAGGTTGACTCAGCCTTCCATCCTTCCGAGGTGGGTAAAATGAGGACCCAGATTGTTGTTAGGGCCAATATGCTGACTCTGTAAACCGCTTAGAGAGGGCTGAAAGCCCTATGAAGTGGTATATAAGTCTAACTGCTATTGCTATTGCTCTTCTGAGTTCTGGTGCTCTGGCCTGTGTGCGCATGCGCGCATTCCAGTTTCAGCACTCGGTGCTGAAAAGGTTAACCATCATTGGGCTAAGTTTTCCAAAGATATATTAGGGTTGTCTTTTTTCCTCCTTTCTAACTGTGATATTCTTACTTTGGAGCTTATGCTATCTTTTTCAAGTTGTTTCTGATCTCAATGTGGCTGGAAATTATGCTGTCATTTACTGCAACGATGGTCAGAGGCAGCTCTGTGGGCTGCAAAAAGGGAATTTAGGCAAACATTGATCACCTCTGGCCCAATGTCAAGACTGAGCAACAAATTTTCCTCCAGTGTATTTATTTGGTTAATTTTTTAATCCCGCCTTTATTGCTTTTTTAAGTATCTCAAGGCAGCCAACACAACAATATTCTTCTGCCCACAACAACACCTCTGGGAGCTGAGTTGGGCTCAGACGGAGTCACTGGCCCAAAGTCACCCAGTCAGCTTTCATGACTGTGGTAAGACTAGAACTCACAGTCTTCTGGTTGTGCTAAGCTCAACAAAAACTGAATATGGTTGGAGAACAGTAGATGGGGTCTAATTCAAGGTTACTTTCTCAGTTACTAAAACTTCTTGTACCCAGGAAAAAGACTGTTCTCCCCCAGTCTTCCAAATAGTTTTTTGATGGATGGGAAGCAATAACATCTACATGGGGAAGAACCAAATACTGGCATACAATTGCATTTGATTCACCTTTGACCGGAATTTGGGGAAGCAAAGTCTATCATAGCTACAGAGCAGTAGGAGGATAAGGCTCCTACACATCATCTGACAGTCATCCTCTTTCTAAGTCCTCATGATCTGCCCTACAGATACATCAACTGCCCAGTTTCCATCACCAAGCCTCAAACATTTGAGTTCTATCTTCTCTGGGGGAGAGAATTAGGTTTACAATTCTGTGCCTATTCAAGATCATGAAACACAGATTAGATGCTTGAGATTTGCAGGCACATTTGCATGGTTAGCTAACTTGGCCCAGTTCTAAATTTAGACGTTGCATTTGGGAATTTCCTATAAAAGTGGAAATGGAAATCTGTTTTCTAATCTTGAAAGCAACGAGAAAAGCAAGGGGATGAGAGGGAGGTCAACAATTTGAATTTGATTTCTTTTGGATGATCAGGTAGAACAAAGGCACTGCTGTTGTTTACAAATACAGTACAATACAATATAATAGCAGAGTTAGAAGGGACCTTGGAGGTCTTCTAGTCCAACCCCCTACCTAGTCAGGAAACCTTATACGGTTCCAGACAAATAGCTATCCAACATCTTCTTAAAGACTTCCAATGTTGGGGCATTCACAGCTTCTGGAGGCAAGCTGTTCCACTGATTAATTGTTCTAACTGTCAGGAAATTTCTCCTCAGTTCTAAATTGCTTCTCTCCTTGATTAGTTTCCACCCATTGCTTCTTGTTCTACACTCAGGTGCCGTGGATCAAATATGAGTTCTCTTGCTGACATTTCCCTGA